TCTTTGATTTTTGAAACGGTGACATGTGATAAGAAAATGGTCGATATGTTCAGGTTCGTTACAGCTTGAGCACAAAGGGGATGACACCAGACCAGACCTGTTTAAGTAGAAATTAAGAGGTGGTACACGGCAACGTAATTTTGCTATCAAGACTTCCAATTTACGCGTGGGACACAATTTATTATTCCATGTGAAGTGCAGGTGCGAGAAATCTGGACTCGGTATCATGATTTTTGATGTGTCTTCAAGAAGGGAAAGTTTTCTAAATCTCGCTGCTGCTACATAAGCTGTAGGAGGCATGATTGGCACAATCGGAAGATCAAGAGATGTTCGCGCAAGTGTGTCAGCCATCTCGTTTATAAATATACTACGATGGCCTGGCACCCATATTATTCGCACTAGACGAATGTTCGCTGGGATTAATGATTTAAAAGTTTCTAGTACTGCTGATGTCGACGACGATGATAAGAATGAACACACGGAATACGAGTCAGACACTATCACAGCTGTCGAATGAGTCGCAGGAAGTTTACGAATAGCTAGTATAACGGCCATTAATTCCGCTGGGTGATGATCTTCAGACCGGGCTACAGTCATAGAAGTTCTTTTTCTTTCACTTTGACAAGTTTGCATACACATTCGAATCTGTATATATTACGTTTAAAAAAATCACAAAATATTTCTATGTATACGCAATTCGATATAAGCGCTGTGGGCGCCAGGCATCAAAGTAAAACTGGTATGCACGAAAAAGAAAGGTATACAGTAAGAACAAGCAGAGACAATACCTGTTCGTTTATAGCATCTTTGTCTTTTTCGTGCGTGCCAGTTTTACATCGAAGTACAATCAACTCGCCGACCTACAAGTTTTATTGAGACGCCTGGCAGTACGCTTTGCCGCACTTCAATTATTTTCTCTATAGCTCAAGTCACCACATGGCGGCAATGTACTGCAGCGAAGCTTAACAAAACGTCATTATTCAACGAGAACAGAACCGTTGTGGCGCGAGCCGTCGGTATCTTTAAGACAAGTACCTTGCTTATGTTTGATTTGTTGCACGTAATTGCTGTAAGATTCTGTTCATTCTTTTACAGCATCTGCAGCGACACTCGCGTTACGTCAGCATCCATACTTTCCACTGACACCAGAATCGATCGGGAAACTGTAAAGCACTCGCGAGGGCGTACTGCAGCGAGGCGCCCACTAATATTGATATCAGTGGCTAACTTCTTTTTCTCCACACGAATGACGTAGTCCATAGTTGTTCTTGTTCACCAATCAACTGTGGTTCACGCCTGTTTTGGCATATTGGTCAAGAATTTAGCGGTTGTGATATATTTTAAGCTAAAAATGAAGAAGGAGCTAATTTATAAACTAATGGCGTTACGAAATACGCAGGTACTTTTGGTTCGTGATAGAATCCATAGTAAATAACGTTTTCTGTAAACAATGATAACATGCAATAGATATAAAAACGCGTTATACTTTTGCAAGGAATGCACAAGAAAATATTGTGAATTATCGATGTATATAGAGAGTAGTTCGATAAAGCCTGTGTGGATGTTGTCAGATTCGACTGCATCGTTCCGATGCCAATGATGATGATGATGATGATGATGATGATGATGATGATAATGATGATGGTGATGATCAGAAGTTCTCGAGATATTTAGTGAAGCGTTTTTTTGTTTTTGGCGATTCTGGCTTGTACAGCGCATGCGTAGCGACACTTCGTTTTCTATGTTTGTTTTTTTATTACATCCGCACGAATAAACAATGACAGAAAAAAACATAGACAAATGCGTGGATGCGCGTGTAGTGTCTGTGTTTTTGCGCGTTATTATGTTCGTATTTCTGCCAGCGCCTAAAAGTAACGATCGTTCAGCGGCACACGTCTGACAAAATTACCGCGCGATGACGAAGAGAGCAGAACGAGATTTTCCGAGTCTTCAGAAGCGGGCATGTAGCGCCTCCCAGCGTCAATAAAACTAAGCTCTCTTTGCGTTATAACCTCGAACCAACTTCCGAAACCTGTTTTTGCGAATCTTTGATGCCATGTTTTATACATACTAGCAGCCGCCGCACTTGTCGTGGTGCTCGGCTAAAGTCACTGAGGCCGCTCTAACTTGGCTGCTGATTGGTAGAGGCCGCTTTAAGCCTCAGAAAAGTAAAGCCCCTATATTTAGGGACTTTACAGAAAAGTGTGCATTAGGCGCCAAAAATAGGCTGGTCAGACAACGTTCTAGGCACGTAAAGTCAGAAACATGTTTCATGACTCCATCGTCGCAAATTCCCTAGAAAAATTTTACAGAGATGCAAATAATTTCAACCAAAAGACGTGCGTGACTTGTATCTACGACGAGAAAGCAAGATGGAAAAAAGGCGCCAACTATTGAACATAACTGTGAAATTGTCATTTTCCTCTCTTAGTTTGCGTGAGTTACGGTGCTTGCTGCTTTCATTGACGCTACAGCATTAAAAGAGTTCGTTTCGCAGAAATGTTGGTGTCGTTACGGTTGCGTGTGAACGAACAATCGGCGTTTTAATTCATGAAAAAATGGAGACAGCTACAAATAATTTAGTAATAAAAATGTTTAGTGTGGTTGATAGTCGAACCCAGGCTTTCTGAGAGGTGAGGAGGTGCTCCACGACGGAGCCACGGCGGTGTTTGTAAAATCTTCGCAAAAGAATGCTAAAAGAATGTGGCGTGGTGGAAGGAGGGTTCCGAACGTACGTAGTATTGCGTAGTACAATCGCAAAATCGTACCAGTCGACGAAACAAGCGAAAAGCTCAACGATAGGTGGTTGGAAGCTGCCAACCCGTTACGAAGTGTGCAGTTGTGGGGTTGCGCGTGGTACCCGATTAGTATAACCTCCATAGCGGTACCTTGCGGACGCCATCAACCTAACGTCATCAACCTAACAAGTGGGCGTATCCACCCACTTCAGGGCAAGCGCTAGTACGCGCAGCGGGTGCTTCTCAAATTTGCGAAAGAAAAAATCATGGCGTACGTTAAGCAACTGTAGATCCAGTATCCATACTATAGTGTTACGTACAATCCAAATGGTGTACGTTTGCCTTGCGTCAATAGGATAGTTCGAAACTGCCAGTTGTTGTTGTTGTCGTCGTCGTTGTTGTTGTTGTTGTAGTTGTTGTTGTTGTTCACCTATTGATTGTGGCGCCTACCCACTATGGGGGATCGGCCAATAATCGAGTGGTTTATAAAATTATTATACAGATTTAGAATAATGGAGATGTAATAGGGAGATTACCAATAACCTAGGAAAGTGTGGTGCTAGATGTAATGCATACGATTATTTAAATAAAGAAACGAATTTATTCTTAGAATAGAGCATTAATCTGATTTTTATACGTATATGATTTTGTAGACATGCTAGGATAATGAAACAGGTTAATTAGTTAACCTATTAGTTTCATCAATATAGTCTCGGACGGCCGTGCATACTGTCGCATTAGAGAACCCAGAAATGGAAGCTCCAAAAGAGAAAATGACAGGCACAGATAAGTCTATGCCAATACCACGCAAAGGTATTTCTAAAAGGGTTTTTCGTAATGTGTTAAACCGCTTTCAGGTCAAAAAGAAATTATCTATTGTTTCCAGTTCATCACAGAATGCGCACAGTGGCGAAGGTGCCTGATCAGACCCGTGTTTATAGAGATTTAGATTTGGTACCCGGCAACGAAGCCTTGTGATAGCTACTTCTTGTTTACGAGTGCGGCAAAAGTCTCTTCGGCAGGGTTATATTAAATGGCGATATTCTGTAAACTGCCAGTGTTACGCGCACAGCTGTGACCTTCCTCGCGGCACGATTAAAGGCGGGGAGCACGGGGGACGATTGCACCATCGCGGCTACTGTTGCAGGTAAAGCTCAAGCGTGCAAGTTTTCCGAGGAGATTCACGAGTCCACAATCAAATTAACACACTCCCGGATCGCTTCTTTAAGGCATGGCTGATAAAAGCAGCGCAGGACCAAATAGCTAGCTAGAGCGCTAAAATACCAGAAGAGAAGGATTCCTCGTTTTTGCCTAGTGTAACCACGTGGAGTTAATTTCTCGCCTGTCGGTGAACACGTTAAGATGTAAATTACAAGAAAATGAAAGCCACATGCACATCAGATTTTTCTTAATTTTGCTCTTCCATCTCCTTTCCGCTAGCTGCTTTCCAATGTTTCGCATTCGCCAACCGCTCGCACCATGTGAGAGCATCGGCGCTTGGTGGACGATTCGTCCCGTCGTTTCGGTCCTGCTATAGTTGCTGTTTTAGGAAGTTGATTGTACTAGATGACAAGGTTGAATCCCATAGAGTTGCAAACAGTAAGTTATGCCCGGTAACACGAATATTGTTCTCAAACGGCACTCGAAAGCAAAAATCTATCTTATATAGGGCTCGTACAGGTACTGCTTCTGAAAAAAAAAAAAAACGGTACATATGGGCAATTATAAGGATTTAGGCACTGACGCCAAAAATGTAGGCATTTATAGGCACTATACAAACACTACAGTGGCCCATTTTGACCTCTAATTCATTCTCATATATCGAAACGGGGCAATAGAAAAGCAAAAAAAAAAGGCATTGGCTTATAATCCGGGCTCTAGCAACTGATTAGCATAGGCGTGTTCAGCATTCCCTTTTATGTGGGGTGAAAGTTCATCGCAGTGCAGCCTTCTCCTTATCAAAGCCAACGTACGGGAAAGAGATTGCGCTTCCCCTCCCCTCTTAGGCGACCAAGGGGGTGACCACCCCCCTTGTCAGCCATATCGCTCCTTCCCCCACCCGCCTCTGTGCGCGCGCCTATGCTGATCAGAAAGCGTCCAGTCCAATCTCGGCCGCGGTGGTCGCATAACGAAGGGAGCAAAATGCAGGGCTTTCACCGATACGCGAAATTTTCGGGGCTCACTACCGTGGCGTATCATACCTTCCACGTACGTTCACGCGGTAAGTGAATCCTGTGTGGGCGACGAACGCGGCCAGCGAACTCAAGCTTCAGCCAGCACATAGCCTCCGAGATTGCGGGCACTTGGCGCGCCCGCGCCCACCATCTCGGAGGCCATGGCCAGCACCACAGCGTTTCCTGAATATACGCTAGAGGGAACACTGGCGCTAGTGTCTATGGGAGCTGCAACGCATGGCGCGAGCATGGGAACTATGTGTATGACATAGATTTGCCTTGTCTTCGTACTTTACGTTCGCTCTGGCGTCGCGTGGCTTGAAGCTGCTTTGTCGCGAAACAACAATCGGCAAATGTTCGGCAGTTCGCTTCACCACCTTAATCTTTTAGGCTTATCACTTCAAATGGAGTCACGAAGTGAAAGCCTGCTTTTCCTTCAAATCAAAACCAAAATACCGCTATAAACGAAGCCGCAAGTGCAGTTCGCCCCCCGCAAGCACGAAGACTAGGCAAATCCAAGTCATACCCATGATTCCCATGGTCACTGAACAATCGTAGCACCTGAGCCCCCTCCAGTTATTTGAATTAGGTAACTCTATGGCCAGCACACTTCTGACCTTGACCGATCATGTCTGTTCAGCCGCAAAGTACGTGCCTTCTAGCAGTCTGCCCCAGTTTCGTCAGTCATTGTAAAGCGTGCTCCAGCTTTCTCGATCCTGTTTCATTCCTCTCTACTGAGATCATGCTTGCTTGGGGAGAACGCCCCACCGTGGTGGTCTAGTGGCTAAGGTACTCGGCTGCTGACCCGAAGGTTGCGGGATTGAATCCAGGCTGCGGCGGCTGCACTTTCGATGGAGGCGAAAATGCTGTAGGCCCGTGTGCTCAGATTTGGGTGCACGTTAAAGAACCCAGGTGGTCAAAATTTTCGGAGTCTTCCACTACGGCGTCTCTCTTAATCATATGGTGGTTTTGGGGCAATAAACCCCACATATCAATCAATCAATGCTTGGGGAGGAAATTCCTTCACGTGCTTTGCGTGGAGGACGAAATAAAGACGCCACGCAGTCAGTCTCGGCATATAGAGCATTTTGAAGCCGCATTCCTAGCACTTGTCCTCTCTGGCTGTATCAGCCTTACACGCGACATCCGAGATGGAGCGTGTTGACCATGTATAATAGTTGCGCTGCGCTTACGCAACTTTGCCTGCATTTCATCTTGGTGTGGTAATCACATCATGGGTCCACCTTTTTAACATACCAGCCTATAAACACTTTGGACCTTTGCCTTAATAGGCAAAAGTCCAACGATAGGACTTCTGGTACCAGCGCCAGGTCCACCCAAACTTCTTGGGCTCGCAGCGCCTTGGGTCAGCCACAAGCAGCTTAATAGTAACAAAATCGTTCAATTCTTGCATATAAGTATCACTACGTCCAGTGAAAGTTTACTGCGTAGTTGTTATTACTCATTGTCTTTCTTTTGTTTGTGTATATCAATGACATGTTTCTGTTATCTTACCCAAGTTCGAGTATCTGAATATATATGTCTGTACAATGCTTAACCTTCTTTACTATATCTGCGATGTTTAGCATCTTGTATCCTGGTTAAATGCCTTGTTATATTGTTTTGCTACTTGTGCTATTGTTGCCTTGTGCTATCGTTCGGATACTGTGCCATTTTCTATCGCATCATTGGACCCTATTCTAGCCTTTGGCTATGGGTCCAAACAGTTTTTTGAGCTATCAAGTTGGAATTGCAAATAAAGTGAAATGAAATGAAAAAAAAATGTGTCCTTGATTTCCTTCGTGGACTGTTCGTCCACATTCTTCTGGTAGTATGCAACATGATGGCGCGAGCTTTCGTAGAAATTTCCACATCTTCGACAGTGAGAGAGAAGCTGTAAGTATTCGCTACAGAAGCACTCTTCGAGTCTTAGATATTTACCCTGCCGCCAAACCGCTGCTCAAGAGCCATCATCCATCTATGTGAGGCGAAGTACAACTATTATTTATTAGATCAAAGCCGACAGTCAGACTTTGTAAAGATGCGGCGAAGGTGAGCTAGTAAAATACGCTGCACTTCAGTCGGGGATTCATGGGCGCACCGCCCGGGCAACGGAAGGCACCCGGAAAGTGTCGGCTATGCCTCAAAGGCTCGTTGCACGTCAGTTCGGCCACTCCACTCTGGTATCCGGCACACAGCGGAAAGCAGGAGGCCATGAAAAACAGTTGCTGCTCGGTGAAGGATGCGAGGCCGTGCAGGCGCCAATTATAGTCACGTCGTCGCAGTGGAGACCGAAACGCGTACCACAGAAAGGACTGAGCGATGGCGCGGTTGAAAGCTGCACGCTTGACAGGATCTCCGTGAAGACCGCGCAGTGTTCCAGCGGTTTCATAGCAGTGACTGCGCTGGTCCAGGAGGGAGTGGAAGCTGCTCTGCTCAGGCAAATGGTCCACGAAGAACTGAAACGTGGCCTCAGCAATCAGCGAGCCAAGACCGCCGTACTTGACGCTGTCCACCACCTGCGAAACAGTTTTGTTAAAGCGATTGCCTCAGGTGCCCCATGAAACCACAAAAATTGACCATTAGAGTCAGGCGCGTAGCCAGATTAATTTTGGGAAAAGGGGGGGGGGGCAGCTTTTTGATTTTTGCAAGGGCGCGCTTTCGCTCTCCATGTCATGGTGAAAAACATTGGTGGGGGGGGGGGCACGAGTTTGATGTGCCATCCCTTAGCTACACCCCTGGTCGGCGTCAACACCAGTAATGCAAAAAGTCATCATCACGTGATGATGCCACCGTAGGACGTCATATGATGACTTGATCACATGACATTGCCGCTTGGTCAAATGTGTGCCGATATTGGAGGCAGTGCAAAACCAGGTGACATGCAGTAAGTTTGCATCATCTAAGATCCTGGAGGCATGCAGTACAAGCTACGTTAGGCACCTAAAGTTCTCGAAAAAGTTTTTCTCTTTTTTTGTGCGATGGGGGGGGGATACTAACACATGGATTGAGGAAAAAAAGAGCTGCTTGCACCTTCGAGTTATCTTGGGCGATTTCATATAGTACCCTGTTATCTTTTTTTATCTCAAGAAAGCAAAATGTTCGTAGCAAAAGGTTCGTTGAACGCGCAAGGTGCCGCAAAATGTTAGATACTTACATTCGAATCGTACAGTGGCAGCAGGGTCAAGTAGGGTGCGAGTCCAAGCTCTCCCTTGCTGCCAGCCTTGTGGATCGAGTAACCATTGGCTCCCCCCACGATGCTCGACAGGTACCAAGAGCTGATGGCTCTGCGCACGTCGGAGCTCATCCGACGCAGTCCCCTCTGTAGCTCCAGCCAATTGCTGGCGAATGAGCCGCGAGCCATAGACGGCACGTCGGTGAACAGCCTATCAAGTCGGTCCTTGTTGTCAAGAAACTCGAGCCTCGGAAGAAGCGTGCGCTCTAGCTGCCGCAAGTTAATCGACGTGTCGCGCATGTCCAGCTCCGGAATCACCTGAAGGTTGCTCAGAAGCGCCGAGTACACCACATTCACTATTTCGTGCAACTCAACCCGTATGTCCTGTCTGAAGTTCTCGGCTGCGTACCTCTGGTACATTACCACACCCACAGTTGTCTCTGTCAGTCGCAAGCAGTGAAGGGACGACTGGTACCGCACTGACTTCTTGCTTCCGTAGCTGAGTACGGCCAGGCCGTAAGACATGAAGCGAGCCAAAGCCTGGACGACGGTCCAGCCATAATAGAAGTGGAGCCGCTGCTCGCCGATAGCAAGTAATAGGTCATCCAGAGCGCGCAGGTATTGCGCATCCCACACTGTTATCTGTTGAGAACATGGCAGGGACGCGAACGATAGGTTTTCCGATTTATTGAGTGGCGCGAACATCATTTGACCGAACAAGTCAGCCCAGCGTTTTGGCGATATAGACGGAGACACGTGATTTAATTTGCCGACATCATTGAATACAGTTTTCACAGCCGCTTTCCGTCCAGTGAGGTAGTGGAAAGCGACGTTTTCAATTTGGAGGAAATACTCCCAACGCGTCGACGTGCTGCCAGAGGTAGCCGCGTTTAGCAAAGAGCCACCCATTGATGCATTCCCATCATACCCTTCAAACACTTGGATAAAAGAGTCGTAGTAAACCTCATACTTGTCGTGGGATTCGAGTTCTTGGCGACGTCGCTTCAGGTGCTCCAGGACGTCCCCCTTCCATATCTGAATAAAGCACGTTCCCCTGTCATATTCGGCCACGAAAAAGGCGAGGGTGTAAACGTTCAAGGCGATGGCCATCTTGAGCATCGATGCCATGATGTTTGGTCTTTTGGAAACTTGTGGCCAGAGGATTCCGGCGTCAGTCATGATCGCTCGAAACTGGTCGAACTGGCTCACCCCCTCGGCGACAACAGCGACGCACGACTGGTAGAAGACGGCTGCTTTTTCGAAGGCGCTCTGAGCCGACTCCGGCGCGATGGCTGTGCGCAGAGAGCGTGCCACGAGGTTCGTGAAGGTGTCCATGTGGTCCCGGAACACTGAGCGCGACGAGTTGGCGTAGCCTTCGCAGACGAAGCGGTAGAAGTTGTGGCACGGGTTGACCGATCCCGACGTGCTTTGCGCCACCATGCGAGCGTATGAGGTGCACGCCGTGGTCTCGCACAGGCCGACGAGCTGGGCGGCGCGTCGGACGCGCCGCGTGATTGGGACAGCGACGGCGGACACGACGCAGACTGCGACGGCGAGTGCGAGAAGAGCGGCTACCGCAGCAGCCCTGCTGTCTCGTTTCAGACGCTCGGGAAGCGAGGGAGGGCTTAGCTTGATGCGGTTTGGAGGCTGGTACAGCCAGTCGATCTTCTACGAAAAACACAGAGAACGTTTTTAGAGAACGTTATGTTACGGCTATTTCAAAGACCCGTCAAATTGTTATACACCACTGTTCGTGCGTTTGTATATTTTCACTTCGTGGCAAGACAAAGTTCAAGAGAAACTTATGCTTCTAGTAATTTCTGTCTGGCACGTGGCTATATGTACACAGTAAACTTTCATGAAAGGGAACATGCAAGTGCGTGACCTGCGTGCTCAAGCGGATGCTTGCCGCGCGTTCAAGCGAGAACGAGAGCAACCACAGTGAGTAGCCTACATGACCAAAGTAGTCATGAAGGCTCCCTAAACCGCAAGCCTCCTCCCGCGTCATGCAGAGGTGAGAAAAACAGTCATTTGCGATATGAAGCTGGCGGCACGATTGCAACAATTTCCTTCTTTCAGGTGATTGCGCAAGAGGCCGTTCCCGCACTATAACAGGTATTGTGTCCAGCGTAATCGAAGATGACGCGAAAAGAGGCTGTGGTTGCCCCGTTCTCGCTTGAACGTGCTGAAAGCAGCTGCGAGAGCGCGCAGGCCACGCGCTCGCGTGTTCACTTTCATAAAAAGTGATAGTGTACGTACATATATTGAATCACAGCTTACCAATAGGCACATGCTGAGACTACAGCGTAGACAAACCTAATGCCACATGAAATAATAATGATAATCTACATTGTTCTTAACATGGGTCATGAGACTCATGACTCTACAAGCCCTTAAAAACCCCGTATGCGTATACACATTCGCGCGAACTGTTGAAAATGTCTAAAACAGTTATTTCAACCATAGTTTCCTATAAGTACTCCAGAGGGAACTGTTGCGCTATAGAGTCCATGGGAGTTGCAACGCACGGCGCTTCAGCCAGCATGGGAACGATGAATAGTACGCACATTTGTTCAATCTTCGTACTTTCACTGCGTTTAGATTCACGTAGCTTAGAGCTGCTTTGTCCCGAAACGACAATTAGCAAATGTTCAGTAGTTGCACTTCACCACCTTCACAATGAACGAAGTTCAAAACGGTTTGTTCTTTTATTCAAAACAAAACGAAAATGCAGCAGTAAACAAAGCTATACAAGCGTTCGAAGCCCGCAAACACGAAAGGCTGGGCAAATGTGTTTATTATCAATCATTTTCATGGCGGCTGAGTGATTGCAGCACCAGAGTCCCCTCTAGTCAATTTTAGGAAACTCTACGCTTTCAACGACCAATAGGTGCTACTAAAGCACCTATCGCTGTTACTTGTGGTAACGTCAGCGGTGTTTGCATATATGAATTATACGAGGACGTAGATTCCGACTCGCGGCACACTGAAGTTCGTCCGCAATTAATGTGCCGAGTCCTGTGCTGGAAGTGATGGTATATAGCAGGACTCTTGATGGTGCACTGGGCGATACGACAACGTGCAACATCTAACGAATTCGGTAATCTATATAGTTTACGACAAACGGAGAAACGTTCAGCACAATAGACTCACCATTGGTTGACGAAGCCTTTTAGAAGCCTGTTCTTGCTTGGCAGTGCTTGGCTCCATTTCAAAGTAACCGTTCGCAGGGCCCACTAAAAAAGAACTTGCAGGACGGCGAGCAGAGGATTCTTCTTCTGTTTCTTCTTCGTGCCATGTGCTGGTACCAACCCTGCCAGATGGACCAAATCTTTTAAAAAAGCAAGTCTACAAAATATGGAGATGGTAGTCTGCCTAATTAAAAAAAAACAAGTATAAACAAGTACTATTTATGCAAATGGTGAGAGAAAATACATGAAGCAGCCGAGTTGAAGTCGATTGAAAAGTATCATCAGAAAGGTACATTTATCGGGAGAACTGGTCGCAAACAAATAATGAGTGCCGGGACGGCTGATTGGCATTAACCAAGCGCTAGCCGCCTCGTGATACATTTTGAATACCTACTTCCATGTTGTAAATTTTATTGATGCGAAGTATTTCTGAAAGCACATCCGCATGATTTTGTCAGGTCTCACAAGGCGCTGTGGGGCCTATAGCTGTATACGTTATTGGATCTCGCCGAGTCTCACAAGTTCTCGCGATGTCTAAGGTTCTCAGAGAACCTTGAAGAACTTTTTTAAACATTTCCCTCTAATCAGTATACGATCCATAACTGTAGTAGTGCGAAACTTTACTAAGCACAGATACAAAAGGGACAAGCGCGCTTATTGCAATTGAAAAGTTATTGCGAGATGCACATACATATACGAGGAAAGAGGCCAGAAAACAAAAGAAGAATAAAACCCACGTGTCCAGCTAATCATTATTAAGCCATCTCCATGCAGCAGGACAGTGAAGTTCTTTAGTTTTTCTTTTATTAGGTGAAATGAACGGCGCACTCATTTATTCTATGTGATTACGTTTGATTTCGGTTAATCGTTTCTTAGATAATCGTTTCTTAGGTTTATTCGGAGCAACCTCTAAAATACCTGCGTAGGTCTTCAGGGCCAGTATTCACCGAAACATCTTATGATGAAGGCTTTCGTAAGAAAACATTTCGGACAATCATGATATGGGACGTATTAGAGAAGCCGAATGACCGATAGAAAAACGCACTCACAAAAAAGGTGTTTTGTGACTGAGACCCCTGGTTGGGCACTCAGTTATTCATCTGCACAAATGGGCAGTAAAACGGCAAACTATACCTAATTATTCTCAGCATATTTTAACATTCTCTTTATACAACAAACCTGCCCGAACACCTTTTCTGGTGGTTTCTGGTTCGGTGCACCTGCTTGGTATTGGTGTCTCCAGCATTGCTTCCTTTTGCTCTATCCCTATCGTAAATTGTTCGCATATTATTATAAGGCTTCAGCATTGGTCACGCCGAAGCTTGTCATATATATGCAACTTTCTTCTCTTAAGCTTGAAGCACTCTAGGGGCCGGTATGTCGAATGCTGTCATCTTCTGTTGGTGTAACTCAGGCAAAAGCACATACAGATTAGCAATCTGTTGCATATTGAGCACGCACTCGCGCCAAAGACAAGTCTGCTTACCTCTTCTTCTTCGAGCGCGTTGATGATTAAACTTAGTGTGGACTCCCTCCCCCGCCCGTCTTTTTTCCCCTTTTGGCCGTATAAGTCGCACTGTATGTATACCTGCTATAAAGCTGTATCAACTCATCCAATTTCCCATCGCCACAAATTGGCTTTTTCCTCCTCAGACCACCATTCCACGACCCGACAAACGTCTGCACGCACTCGGGATTAAATATGACGCGATTGTACTGTAGTGACATAACAACTTTTTACAGTGAAAGCTGTTATGAGACCACCACTCGGGTCACGCACAATTGTCCGCTGCCGCCGGTGTCCGTAATCACATCGCGCGAAACAACAACAACAAAAAAACCATTCATTAATGGCACAGTCGGGCTCGAACCCGTGCCCGTTGAGTGCCAGCCCAGCATTCTACCACTGAGTTACGCCGGTGCTTGTAACTTGCCTTAGCCAAGCTTGATTTAACACCAATGACACAGTGGGGTTCGAACCCGTGTCCGCTGGTGCCAGCCCAGTATTCAACCACTGAGCTACACCGGAGCTCGTGACTTATTGTCAAACTTGCCTTGGGCAAGCTTGATGTCGGGAAAACAATCGCTTTAATACGACATATAAAGCGTTTTAAAACAGCGAAATAACAACCAGTCATCGCACAATGCGAATAGCATAACGAGTGGGCCGTCCAATACTTTAACCAATTACAAAAGCTTGTTATTGTTCCCCTTTTAACTGTGGCACATACCCACTTCAGCCATAATTCCTCATCATCGTCAGCCACTGCAAGAACAATTGGCACAAACTTCCTTGCAAGTGTTTAGCGGAGAGCCCGCTTTTCAGAAGAGTGACGAAAAATAGCATAGCGAATGCTGCCATACTACCCAAATAAGTTTATTAATAACGACCTGGTGGGTATCAAGCAAGTGTGCTAGCAGTATATACCCAATGAGTGTTTCGAAAAGGCTCTGATAGGCCGCTCTTCTAGCTTTCGTTGGGACTGCAGTGCTGTGTTTTCCGCGCAGGCCGAAGTTTTTTTCTTAAGTCTTAGACACAGTTGAAACTTTCACGACGGATCGATCGGCCTCAACCATTGTACACGCGTAGTGGTGACGGGAGCCGCAGCGTTGATAGTCTTACTACATAATATGCCTGGTACAGTGACAGCTCCCACATTTCGGCCGCTCTTCTATAGCAACACAAGCCTCGAGTGACAATCTACTTTCCAAGCACTTCTGATAGATCATCTTGTATTCCGAATATCCACGAAAAGTTTTTTCTAAAAAAGAAAGAAATCTATTGTTCTTGTTATATTGGGTACATCGAGGCCCGTGTATACTGTGTTATGTCGGAGCGCGTCAAAGAACAACAGTTTCCCTTCACTACGGCGTCTCAATTATATCGTGGTTTTGGGATCTCAAAAAGGCCAAGAATTATTAGTAGGGCGCTTATACATTTATGAGCTTGTTTGTTATTCTGGAGTTTTCTGTCCGTGCCATATAGCATCCTTACTGATGGAAGTGTTACCTTTCAATCTGGAGGGTGTGAAGATGACATAGAATGAACATACCATCGATGGTCAGCCTTCAGGAAGGTCAAGTTCAAGAACTTTCAAATGTATATTTTTTTTCCCGATAGGTTTTTCGGGAACAACAAAGTACTTGGTTTCATAGCAATAAGTAAAAAATAATATCAAGTCTGCACAAAACATAAGTGCATACAAATGACCACGCGCATTTTCATGCGATCGCTAATAGAAACTATTCATCCAACATGTATTTTCTGTCCCGAGTAGTTAACGTCGAAAATGATACAAAATTCGGTTGAACGATGCTACCGCAGAGAGTCGACGTAACAACAAAAACAAGTAATAAAGCGTCAATAGAAAACGAAGGTTTCAAGAACGGCCTCAGTACGAGCAACTCGTAGATCAGAAAAAAGAACAGATACTTCACAGCCCGAGTCGGTGGTGGAAACACATCGTCCGCGAATATACAGGAAAATAGGAAGCAACGTCCGCGCAGCGTGGTGCGAGCGGACGTCAGTAGAAAGCGCTGCACTTGAGCCGCGGATTCATGGGCGCTCCTCCGGCACACTGGAAGGCGCCCGGGAAGTGTCGGCTGTGCCTGAGCGGCTCGTTGCACTGAACCTCGGCCACTGCCCTCTGGTATCCGGTGCACAGCGGGAAGCAAGTGGCCAAGAAGAAGAGCTGCTCCTCGGAGAAGGAATCGAGGCCGCGCAGCCGCCAGCGCGGGTCGTGGCGCCGCAGCGGAGACCGGAACGCCTGCCACAGGATGGACAGGGCAACTGCGCGTTCGAATGCCGCGTGCTTGGTGGGGTCCGTCTTGAGTCCGCGCAACCGACCGGTCTCGTAGCAGTTGGTGCGCTGCGCGAGCAGTGCGAGGAAGCGGCTGTGCTCGGGCAGGTGTTCTTGAAAGAACTGGAAAGTGGCCTCTGCGATCATGGAGCCCAGGCCGCCGTACTTGATGCTGTCTACCACCTGGCAAGAATGTTCCCCGACACATTAGCTGAAGCGCCGACGGTTCTGCTACATGCAGTCGTACACTTACACTGCATGCAGGCACATGTGAGATATCGACAAACCACAGGTTTGCAGCATGAAATCGCAAGGCGTTGGTCCAGGGTTAGATCAACGTAAAAGGACAATTCTTTGGGTGACAAGAAAGCTTTGTTTTTGCAGGATATCCGGATGGATTTTCTTCTGGCTTCGTGCTACAAGCTGAACTTTCTTCTGGCTTTGTGCTACAAGCGAGTGGTCGTCAGTTTCGTGTTGCTAACCCTTCCACCACCTTGCGGGTCTTCGAAGAACCAATTTGCAGCACCGCTAGCATACGCAACAACACAGAACTATGTTCTGTGCGCACTCTCATGTGTTTTCCGCGTCGGTAACTGCCTGCACTGTATGATTGCATAAAGTTTGTGAAACGTTTATCGGTATTTATCTTCGGAATATTGCCCACAAAACAGGTGTTGGGTCTTACCTGCGTGTTGCTTTTAAGGTTAAGTTATATCGACTCCTATAAGCGTAAATTGCATCCTTTTGTTTCTCAGTTGTCAAATCTATTATCTTGGACCTTAAGACATATATCTGTTGTAACTTTTAGTGTCTTATTTAGGAAACTGTGCATGTTGATATACTTATATGCTACTTATATACAAGAAACAAAAATACCAAAACCATCGTATTTGTATGTCATCTTTGATAAAATCATATAAAAACTAAAGCAGTTGTGCATACTTTTATGTTCTATTTTAGCCTAGGTCCACAAGATGCACTTCTAAATTGCAGAGGTGTGTTAAGCAATTACTTTCCACTGATCTAAAAGATTCGCGCTGTTGCTTTCTTTCACCAACTGTAGTGTTGATTCTGTACTGTTCAGCTGCACTGTACGTTCAATGCAGACGTACGCTCAAAAGTTATTTTCCACTGATCCAAAAGATCCCTGCTGTTTCTTTCTCTTTCACTAACTACAGTTAAACGTTTCGTTGCTGCTGCTCACCTGAGGGTCGTACAATGGCAGGAGCGACACATAGGGTGCCAGGCCAAGCTCCCTTCTGTCGCTTGTTCGATGAATCGAGTACCCACTGGCAGCTGCGACGGCAGATAGGTAGAACGATCGGATGGCCTTTCGTACTGCAGGGCTCATGCGCCGTAATGCCTGTTGGAGGTGCAGCCAGTTTTGAGCGAACGAGTCTTTCGCCATGGGTGGGACATCGGCGAACAGCATATCAAGCCTTCTATGGTCGTCGATTAGCTCGAACTTGGGAAGGAGCATGCTCTCGAGCTGTCGCAGATCTATCGACGTTTCGCGCACGTCCAGATCGGGGTTGGCCTGCAGCGTGCGCAGAAGCGCAGCATACACCACGTTCACCATCTCGTGCATCTCCAATCGCGTGTCTGCGTTGAAATCAGTGGCCGCGTAGCGCTGGTACACCACCAGTCCCATGGTGCTCTCGGTGAGGCGCAGGCAGTGGAGAGGCGAATCATCGCGCGCTCCTTTCACGCTTCCGTGGCTCATGACAGCGAGGCCGTAGGACATGAATCGAGCCAGTACTTGAACGACGGTCCATCCGTAGTAGAAATGAAGCCGGTGCCATCCCACTGCGAGCAGTACATCGTCTAGGGAGCGTAGATACTGCAAGTCCCAAACCGTGATCTCTTGCGAACATGGCAGGGTCAACGACGACGCATTGTCGGCACGTTCTGAGGGCACGCCCATCATTTGTCTGAAAACGTCTGCCCAGCGCCAGGCCGTGATTGATGGGGATACGCGGTGCAGCCTCGCGATGTTGTCAAAGACAGCCTTCGCGGACTCCTTGCGGCCAGTCAGATAGTGGAAGACGACGTTCTCGGTCTGCAGGAATTGCTCGAAGCTCAGTGACGTGTTTCTGGGTGCAGCCGAGGTGTCTCCACCCTCGCCTTTCTTGGGAATAGGGTCCTCATCGTCGCCACCGAAAACCCTGGAGAAAGATTCGTAGTACATATCATACTTGCCGACGGTTTCGAGTTCATGGCGACGTCGCTTCAGGTATTCCAGGACGTCTCCCTTCCAGATCTCAATGTGGCACTTCCCGTCAACCATATCGGCAGCGAAGAACACGATGGTGAAAATGTTCAAGGAAATGGCCATCTTGAGCATAGAGGCCATGAGTTCGGGTGGCTGTGCGACCCGGGGCCATTGGATACCGGCGTCTTCCATGATGACTCTGAACTGCTCGAACTGGTTTGTCCCTTCAGCGACGACAGCGACGCATGATTGGTAGAAGAGAGCGGCCTTTTCGAAGGCGCTCTGCGGCGACTTTGGTGCCACGGCTGTGCGCAGAGAGCGTGCCACGAGGTTCGTGAAGGTGTCCATGTGGTCCCGGAACACCGAGCGCGACGAGTTGGCGTAGCCTTCGCAGACGAAGCGGTAGAAGTTGTGGCACGGGTTGACCGATCCCGACGTGCTTTGCGCCACCATGCGAGCGTACGAGGTGCACGCCGTGGTCTCGCACAGGCCGACGAGCTGGGCGGCGCGTCGGAGGCGCCGTGCGATTGGGACAGCGACGACGGACACGACGCAGACTGCGACTGCGACTACCAGCAGTGCGGCCACCACGGTCGCCTTCGTTCCCAGTTTAGGTCGCTCGGGAGGCGGCGGCGGACTCGAGATGATATGCCGCTGAGACTGGTACAGTGTACCGATCTTCTGCATTCGAAAAAAAGATTATTGACTTTGGAAAGACCGTGTCCCGTAAGGAACGTACCTGATAATAGGAAACGTAGCTTATACAACTGAGCTGCGTTACAATAACACCCATCGTAAGCTATACTACTATCAACTGCCTTTACGAGTAACTGCTCTAAACACTGAATTTATTGTTTTGTCAAGTTGGCAGTAGCCCATCCCACTCGGGGCACAGTTTCAACTTCGCTAGTCCTTACTTGTACAGGTAATTTGTTAGATGTGTTCGTTGGCATTATGAAATGCGTTTCTGTCGACTACGGTGCCATTAGCTGGCACGTTATCGGTGACCGCCTCAGAGAGAAAGAATGTGGAATGAACAGTGAGGAACCTGACGCTGTTCAAAATTCTGGCGACGAAGGTTTATCGCAGTCTATGTTCTACCGGCTAGACCCTCATCTGTGCGTTCATTTGCCTGTCATCCTGCAATGAGAGTCGGGGCTACAACTGCCACCTCCATTGTTAATGATGCATTAAGTAAAATACACGAAATAATAATTGGAGAGGCTATACTGCGTATTCACAATCACGCAACTATTGCGTTTCCCTGGTCCTATATTTTTTACCAGCAAACTTGAATTCTGCTACGAATTTAGTTAGCGAATTCTAGAATGCAATAACATCACCCGGTCGCAATCAAGAATTTTCTTAAACCACCTTAATCGCAACATTATTCCACCTCTTTTTGCAATATTGACTAGTTAGTTCAGAGAGCGGTACAAGGTCGGTCACCGAGATATCAGCTACGTAGCCAAGAAAAATATGCTTGCCAGTGGTAGTGGGCGCATAGTAGAGCTGCTCCGAAGAGATGTAAGCACCAGTTCGGGTGAACTGCGTTGAGTCTCCATCGGTAGCGGGCGCACAGTAGAGCTGCTCCGAAGAGGTGTTGACACCAGTTCGGGCGAACTGCGTTGAGTCTCCATCGAAAAAGACACGCAGAAGCGGCCGCGGACAGGAGCAGAGGCTCGTTCGTGTTCTTCTTGCTCTTCTTCTTTCTTCTTGCTCACGCATATTCTCACAGTTTTTGTCTTCTACGAATAGTGAGATGATTGAAAAGGTTGAAAAGAAGATAAAGGTGACGACAAAACACAAAGCACAATCCCACAATAATAATAATAATAATAAACTTGACTTACCAGTACGATATTTCATTTGTCTACAGGTGATCTTTTCAGCTTTTCCCCCCGAAAAGTTCCACTTCCACACAATTCATGACCCACCACTCGTGGTGGATTGAGCCTTACCGCTAGCACTCAATCAACTAACCAAACGTGGATCGACGAAAGCTATAAAAAAACTGGAGAAGGCGAGTGAGAAGTGCTGAAATTAATAATGGGAATAACAAAGCTAGCAGATGATATTCAATAAAGCTAAAAGCTAACATTGCTAAAATACTGAGGGGACGAATGGAAGAAGAGGAGAACGAGGTTGGCACGAGGGTGATCTGCCAGATCCCTGGACTCTCGCATTCATCATCTCTTGTAAATAAAGGCATCTCACCGTAACAATATACTTATTATAATACTGACTTACTTTAAATTGCTTAATAACTTCAAATTAAACGAAACGGGCTGAATAACCACTATAATAAAGATGGAAATAATTCAGAACTTGAGAGAGAAATGGTACAGAAAAGAATTGAGAATGTAAAACTAACTTCACTTTTTCTTCTTTTTATTGGGAAATAATCTCACAAATGATTTCAAAATTATTCATTACTCACCATTTTGAAATTATGAACAGATTTTTTTTTAGGTAGCAAGGCACCGCTCGTTTCGTGGCTGATCCCCCACTATGGGTTGCGCCAGGATAAAAGGGTAATGAATCAAACAATCAACGTCACTATGACTGAAAGAGAACTAAAGAAATAAATGGCAAGCGAAAAAAAAAATCAAAAGCGTGGACGTCAACGTAATTCACCAATACATATATTTTTTTTCTTTAGGGAATCAAACTATAGAGTTCGCGTAAGGAACCTTGTTGGCACCCGAAAGTGTAAAGTTGATTGAAGTCAAGTCAATATCAATTTGCTTGTGTGGACTACCATACTATATATAATGATGGATGGATGTCTTTTTCTTTCGTACTGCGCAATCGAGGAATGAGTATCGTTGATTACGTCTAAATTTAGAGGGCAAGTAAACGTGTTGAATGCTCGATCACATTGCTAGCTTGCCGATAACCACAGGAGCTGACTAACTTTGCAACAAAGTGAATATTTGGCCTTCTCATTCAACCAAGTTTCTTCGCAAGTCTTGTGACGCAGGTTGCGAGAAATATTCTCGGGCTCTAGTGCGGCAAATGTGGCTGTAGGGGTTCTTTCGAAGGGGTTCTTTTGGTAGTCTTTTCCTTTGTATATTAAAATTTTGGCTCGTAAAAAAGAAGTGCCACAGAGATTCACTGTCATTACAGTAAAGACGTGATTGTGGCGTATTGAGCGCCAACCATGCAACCATAATCAACATCAACGTCGTCGTGAATATCAGAAGAAGACGAAAGTTCCATCGCCTGCCTTCGGCTGAACGCCCCGCTCAACATAATACAGCTGAAACACCTTGCCTACAGCGTACCCACAAGGACTGCTTTTTTATAAGGTATGAAGACCAACGATGCACAGATGGGGCCTAGCGTAGAGCAGCCGGAAAAATTGAAAACGGTTGTTTCTGACAGCAAAAGTGACAATGCGGCCCGGCATCCCACGTCACCATCGTCCTCCGCCTCACAACGGGACAGGGAGTGCGTTGGGGCAAATGAAGCCAGGTCTCCTCATAGTCACAAAGATCGACAAAGCAAAGAGGTGGGAAAAGGCATCAAAACAGAACAAGAGAAAACTAAGACGCGCCAGCGCAGTACGAATATTCCGAGCAGTTCAGATGATGCTGGCCATGACCTCGTGTCACTCGCCGCAGTGCCGTCGGAACGAGGTGCGACAGGTAGGAAGAAGGCATCGGTGCTCGGCAAGTCAGGGGGTGTCGCTCAGGACGCCCAGGAGACACCTGCTGCGAGGGAGCTAGACACGTTTGAATTTTCTCCACGGACTGGACACACCGGCTCTACAGACAGCAACGAGACAAAAAAAGCCTCTCAAATAAGTCGTGCAGGCGTTGAAGGCGTTGCTGGGTTCCCCGTGTCCAACTGTGAACCCAAGCGGCCAGTTGAAACACCGCAATACGGTACGTCCTACGTACAGAACGACTCGGCGGCAGAAGTAGCCCCGAACAAGCGTGAAAATTGCGGCACGGCGAAGCAAGGCAGCCCTATGAGACACTCCGCAGTGCCAGTGGCTAGTGTCAGCACTCCTACTTTGCCCGAACGAAGTGAGTTACCATCGACGCCGCCGACTGCAACACCACGCTGGAACGCAACCCAACTCGGGAGTTATCCGACCATGAGCGAAACGGCTCAAGCCTCTCCTGAGCCGGTGCCTGAGTCGTCGGAGTCTGATAGTCGTGCTCCGTGGCGTGGACGAATTATGGAGATCATTAAGAGCGAAAGCGTCGGAGAGACCGGCACCTCCAAGAGGCGTGCTCCCGCTTCGGCCCACGTCAAGTCTAGGTACTCTGGAACGGCGGATTATCCAGGTATCGTGAACGCTGTACTTGGCGCTGCCTAAGAAATATTGCACGACGAGTACCGAGGAGTGTCCAAGAACTTGCATGTCAAGTTTCACCGTATACCGCCATAATCAGTCTCGTTTACACTGGACGTTTTGCGTGCCTAAACTTTGATGGAATGCAAATGTGAATTGCTCAGGTAGTTAAAAAAAAACACATGACAGCTTACACATGGATGCCGCAATGAAAGTCTCTGAAACTTGTCAATCCAATGAATGGCTATTTGTGTATCATTTCAGAAGACAGCATGCCTCGTTTGATAAAACTCTTAATGGTAACGTGGCCTTGTTAACGAGACAAAACGATATTGACGCCCGTTTCCTGACACTATAAAGAGAGTCGACACACTCTGTTTTCCCATAATCTTGAATACAAACACGTGCAATTCCACCGTTCTCCGTAGTTTCACGTCTCCGTAGCCACCATTAGATAAATGGTTCCATAAAAGTGAAAGAGGTGGTCACCCATGTCGGGTTTCTTGATCCCCAACACTTGATGAATTTTGCATACACGCATGCTCACGCGAGGAAGCATATGGGTTTAAGCACTTTCTCTCACTCTCACTTCCTTCCTTTTTAAATACAGTGACGCTCAAAAGGCTCCGCATAGGCCTATTCGCCAACGAACAAGACGAGCCCTCGGGTCCCAGTCGGGCGAGACGGATTCTGTTCTTGGCGCCACTCGCTGTGCTCATAATCGCGCTGATATTTGTGCTCTTGGTGCGCCGGAGTCGCATTCTCCACAAGATGAACTATGTGCCTGAGCAGGTGGGTGAGCATATAACTCGAGAACTTTCATCTTCACTTGGTCTTGATATATGGTGCCTAGTAAACCAGATTGCTATGGTCTGGTAGAGAGAGAGAGACGTCTGATGTGATGGTAGCGGTGACGTAATATAATTACTACAAGTTCTAGGTGATTTCATGGATCGTGTAGTGCCCACAGTTGACGCATCGCAGGAGCTGGTTTCAAGAGTGTGGAAGATACACGAGGTGTAGCAAGCCGCATCCTTGCGCAGTAGAACAAGTTTCTGTTTGTAATTGAATTATAATTGGCAAGGTTACGACAACTGAATTCACTCGCCATGTGTTACATCACAGCGATACGTGATATAGTAATTATGATTCGCATTAAGGTTATACGGTCTTCATTTTTGTATGAGCAGCCGCCAGTAATTCTGATGGCGAAGCCACACGATAGTACCAATACAGGTGCGACCGCCCGCTTCGATGCTATATAACTCACGCGTGGCATACTTTCCCGGTGACCTGACAACAATGAAACCATGGAATCGGCTATCCTTTAGTGCTAAAGCATACACTAAGGACTAGGTATGAGGTAGTAGGTACGTTTATTTCCTTATACTATCGAAATGAACTGTTTCTTCAACCTCGCCTGCCAAGCCTTGTACCCGAGAACTTCAGAATCAACATTGTAAAGGTCGCAAAATAACTGAGAATAC